GTTCGACGTCAATTGCGTAGTACTCCCACAGCCTAATCTCGGAGATGACATGCTTCTTGATAGCTTCCATGATCTTCAGCAGATCATCATCGGTCTTGACCTCGGTGGGAAGACCCAGCTTCTCGAGGTTGTCGCTCAGCTCCAGCAGCTTCGTGTCCAAGAGCCAGGCCGACTCCAGCCAAGGCGCCGTAACAAGGTTGTAGCCAGCCGAGGGGTGGTCCTGCAGCCAGGCGCTGTTGTGCGCCGTGTGGTTCAGGACAATGTCGGTCAAGCTGAGCATGGAGTACTGCTTCTCCAAGCTCTCAACCAGGCCCTGGACATCCTTCTCGCCGTCGGGAAAGCAGTCGGGGTCCCAGCCCAATTGGTCGTACAAGCTGTAGGGGGAGTTGGAGGCACCGCGGACCTGCAGCGGGGTGAAGTGGATCATGTTGTAACCACGGTCGCTGATGCCGCGCAGGTGCTTCTCCCAGTCGCCCGGGTACTTGCCCATGAACTTGCTGATGACGGAGAAGATTGAGAGGGCAGGCAGCGGCAGAGGCCTGCCGTCGAGGCTGAGGCGCGGGGCGACATCGATGTAGTAGAGCGGGGTCTTTTTGTTGGTGGTTTCGGCCTGAGGGCTCGAGTCCAGCTCCTCGGCGAGGTCTGGCAGCTCAGCGTAGGTGGTGTAGAAGGCGTAGGCGCCGGCCTGGAAGATGGGAATGGAGATTTCGATTGTGCGATTGAAGTCGGGCACGAGTCTGGGCCGCGCATGAGCTTCAATCCTGTGGTCAATTGAGGAGCAATTGGTGGTGAAGCTTACTTGAACTCGCGGAACTGGTCCCTGTGGAACTCGGCGCCCTGCTCAGGAATGTTGACCCACAGACTGCCATGGCGACAGATGGAGGAGGTGCCCTCAATTGCGAAGCGGATGGTTACGGGGTCGTTCGTCTTGGGAGCGAGGTAAACATACTCGCCGGCGACGTCGGGAGAGCCATCGTCGTTCAGCGGCAGGAGGTAGACTTCGTTGGACATCATGGTCTTTGGCACCATCCCTCAGATGTTGTAGGAGGCAGCTTCGTGCCCCGCGGACAGATCGGCGTAGGTAGACTGGGTCGCAGGCAGCGCAATGACTCGAATCATGCACTGCACGGGGGGCGAATCCGCTCGAGGAAAAACACGCCGATCCGGGTTGCAGGCGACAGGGGACGAATTGGCGACGGACGTCAACGCCAAAGCCTTTGGAGGGTATCTGCTGCTTGGAGAAAACGAGGGAATTGAGGAAAAGAGAAGGATTGCGGTCAGAGTGTGGCAGAGGGAAGAAAAGAAAACACGATGCTGAGGTAGACGATAGCGACGGATAGAGCAAAAGGTCAGCCTGGTAGCGCGGTAAGGTAGCTCTTCGAAAAAGGTATGGCGGGGTGTCAGCGGCAGCTCAGGAATTGGCGAAGGACGAGCTCAGCTCACCGGCCGGAAGGTCAGACCGACGAAAGGAAAGGACTGGTCCGCGGGAACTGCTCCGGCCAAGGAACTTTTTCGAGCAAAGGATTGGCAGACGGGCAGGTACTTGCTGCTAGGCTCATGGTGTCTTCTTTGTTCTTTCTTCCGTGGAAGCAGCGCTCAACCCATCTCGAGGTACATGGCGGGCTACGCTGGACCTTCCTGGGCGGGCAGCAGCAACGAAGGTGACGGCACCAACAGGAAAGAACCCAGGTCAAGGCAGTCAAGTCCATCAGCAGAAAGTCTGAACACGAAAGATGGCGGGGCATGTCCTCCCCCACACAAAAACATGGGAAAGATACATGGTCTGAGATTTGGAGCTGCCAAACCTCCCCGGAACGGATAGCTTCGGCGGGGACAGCACAGAGCAGTGGAGCGCCCTAGCGGGGTTTGAGTTAGCGCCCAGAACCGTGTGGAGCTCCGGAGACCTGCCATCGCGATCTCCATGATTCCAGACCGCGATTTTCCACTTTCTCGCTGCCATGGATCGCGATGATAACCAGTCCTCCCAATGTCAGCACTGTCAGTGGCCATCCGTGCACCGTGTTCCATATCGTGCAACATGGGCCGCAACTGGGGTAGGAAACCGACATGCCGGGGGCGGAGATTCACCAAAGAGGCCAGGCCCGGCCGATGCCAATCGTCGCAGATATCCATGTCTTTTCTTGCGTTGCTACTCTCAACAGTTTGAAGCGAAGCATATTGCCCCTGCTGCCATCTTTGGTCTATCATCGCGTCGGCTCGTGTATATGTGAAGTCGACTCTTCAGTTCTGAGCAACGCATAGCTCGTTCTTGCTGTTAGTGAGAACCAAGGTAACTATCAGTCAATGCATGAAATGGCGTTGTGCTGTGCTCTCTCGGCGCAGATTCCGATCCCAATTGATTCTTTACTGGTCTGATTTGTTGTGATACCAGAAGCAGACTACGGCACATTTCCACCCCCGGCCAAGAAAAAAAGAGGCTAGAACCACAACAGCTCTCATCCCGGTGCTGGAAATGACGTCACCAAGCCGTCCCGCCGCATTCTAGCGCCTGACAGCCTGCACAGACAGGCCACCCTTACCAGCACCTTTCACTCGGCACTCAATTTTCCACGGCTGACTCTGTCGCTCCGCCGTTCAGCCGTTCCCTGTTCACTTCAGATCCGTATCCTACACGCTAACTTTTGTGCCTGAATATCCTCCGCGACCTCGTACTCAATGTTCATATTGGTTTCGCCAGAAGAATGATTTTATCGCCTCTCCTTCTGACTCCGTTCAGAGAGTTGTCTCGTGAACGGATCAGCTTCTATTAAACATCGTAACCACGGCGGTCAGAGTTTGGGAATATCGCAACCAATCATCCGCAACGCGTCAAGTTCGTCCGGAAAGTCTCCGATGTGGCATAATCTCATCAGATCGTTTTTTTGGACAAGACTCTCTCGCGTCTCCCTCAAGGGTACTGAAGGATATGCAGCCGAGGAGGAATCAGACACGCTATCAGAAAATTGCAACAGATTGACTGAAATTTCGGCAAGTTCCGGTTTAATTGCTGGTGACCGTCGCCTTATCTGCGATCCGTCAGATGAACGGCGGGAAGCGACAAGACTGTCTCTTTTGTGTGTGTCTTCTAGGTTGAAGCTCGGCTGTTGGTAATGATTCTTATGATTTCCAATAGCGTGGTTATGTTGCGGCGATAATGAAGTCACAGAAGGTACAGGGAAATCGATGCCGCGGCGGGCTCTTTGGTATGGGCTCAGAAGTCCGATAGAATCGTCGGCAGCGCATCGAAGGACCAGAGGGAAAACTTCGTCGTTGGGTGTTGTCGAGATATCTTCATGTCGGTTCATGATTTTCTTGACCTTTTCGAACACAGGCCCTTCTTTGCTCAAGGCGACACATCCAAGAACCAATACCGCTTTGACGTACCTAGAGAATACGACAGTGGGCGGCGGCATGTGCTTGCCAAACTACTCATCTGCATCTTCGCTCTGTAAAAAGTCGATTGCAGTTCTGTGAATGAAAACCAGAGAGGTGCGACGTGACTTCCAGGAGCTCAGTTTCTCACCATCACTTCGTCCAGGCCGGACGGGTGTTCGCAACGGGCTTCGGGTTTCCAATAGTCCCGCAGTGACTGGGTATAAAGTTTTGCAGGTCCGGTCGTATGCCTGCACAAGCCTCTCCACGGCTGGGAGCGTGGAAGGCCCAGTGAAGGTCTCCTGTATATCGTCATCCAATGCCGTTGCGAGAGTAGCAATGCTACAGTAGTCTCCGGGTTGATCCGTTCCCGGTAGGCTTTGTCATCCGCATTGGTCGTCTCTAGGTTACTGAATCTCGTTGACATGATATTTCGGGTCTCTGCATGTTCGGCAGTGATGTGATCGTGAACATTCTTGATCAGGTTCTCAATCGCACGCGACCGGTGTTCGTAGACGGTCAAAAGTTCCTTGTGATCCTGAGTCAGAGTGTCGTAAGTTGAGCGATTGAGGTCTCCAGATCTGATGCACTCATCGAATATCTGGACCATCACGGCTGTGTCCATAGCCCTGCGCGAGGCCTCAAGAAGGATCTGAAGTTCATCAAGACGGCGCTTCCGCCGCATTACTCTGAAAGTCGACATGATAGCTCCTCGTAATCCATCGTTCCTGGGCGATGTGTTTTTTTATCTCTTTTTCCACGTCTTTCGCATACTGTATGCATTCAGTGGCAACACGCCGAAGCCGGATTCCTGATTCTGTGGATGCAGGCCGCTGAGCCGTCAGCAATCGCTCCACATCCGTCGATGTTTCTCGCACGCGTCTAGCATTCGTTTCGAGATTGATGTCGGAACTGCCGGATTCTTGAATTTTGCGACACAGCTTGACGTGACGGTCCCCAGGCCGAAGCTGATGACCGTCATGACGTTGCAGGCCATGCTGATGGCCTCGACACCCGACATGGTGAGTGCGAAACGGCACGAGCCGAGGTGAGATGCGGATGGAAGTCGATTGTGATGCGGATGACGCCTAGTCGGCCACTTTGAATGAAACCACAAGAATTGTCCTCGGTGATAGCACGAAAACCTTTCTGGCGAGAAGAAAATTGGCAAGCAAGTTGGTGCTGCGGGGTTTGGCGACATGCATGGAGGGCAAGAGGAGGGGGGCGGGCACTTGTCGTTGCGATGAGCTGCGGCGCAGCAACCGCAGCGATAGAATCATTGGTTGCGGTTACAACGCGTGGAACACTCTGGATATCGCAGGCGTATAATCTGCACTTCTGATTGATCAAGATAGGTGAAGCCGGGTTTGTGCCTCGGTTATTTTTCCAATAAAAGCTGACGCTTCAGTTACACAGCCTAATTTTGCCTTGGCTGTGATCTCCAGTCAGACTCATCGCTCACGTTGGCAAAGTGGACGAGAGATAGTTGAATTGATTTTGCTTATGGTAGCTCACATTACGTGCGATCCAGCTGCACAGGAGTATTAAACCCCTCATAATATTGACATCAAGAGTCTAAAGCCCTAAAAATATCAACAGCGTCACTGCTATTCTTCCCTCAGAGCCACTCAGCGGCACTAGGATCATTAGCACGTCAAAAATCAAGAAATTGACTCGAACAGAAGCTTACGCAGGAAACATACTACTAAAGTTAGTAAGATGGCTCAAAATTTGAAGGGGATATCACTTACACCACCGTCACCACAGTTACGCTTGTTCCCAGCGGGACGAGTACAGTCACCACGGTGAATGTTGTAATCGCTTACAGGAGCGCCGGGTACATCGCACTATCATCATGAGATCCCCATGTCCGCGTAATCAATCTGTCTAGGTTGAGCAGGACTTACACAGAATTGGTTTCTTCCGCTCTCCTGTTCAGTCATTACTTAGTAAATGGAGCGAACCGCGTATATGATTTACTCACGCATCCAAACCGTGTCGAAATGCCGTAAGACGTACACCAGGCTCCGTAGACGGTAGGAGCCGAGAGCGCAAAGGTGCAAACAACGCTGAAGAACTTCATAGTGGGCGGATGGGTTTATGTACAGAGAAAGTGGGAAAATAAATGATTGAGAAGCAATGTAACAGCAAGAGAATGAAGCGACGGCGCCGTCCTTTCCTCTGACTAAATAACATCGATAAATGCCAGTGACCCCATCAGGTCACGTACATTTGAACCACGTCGGTCTCGCTCCCGCAGAATAATCTGTGAGTGACTGTATGGGGCTGTAAATGGCTGGGCACTATATTCGAGATTCCCGGTGCAATAGTAAGGAGTCTAAAAAGTGGAATTGGCACATAAAGTCAGTGTCACGATTTAAGCTTGTTGCAACTTGTGAGTCTGATTCCTTGCGGGAATTACAACTGTGGCTAAAGGACGCCCTCTTTCATTGAGCGGTCCCGCCAGAACTTCACCTCCAGCGGGAATTGCTTGCTAGTCAGCGAGTCTTGGCACTACCATGCTGCTCTGGGCTCCACGCCCCCCCCCCCCCCCCCCCCCCGAGGCATCCAAGGGATATCCAGACCGATCTGCGACTCAGAATCTGCTGGGTTCACTAATTAGTCCCGGAAATCTGGCATTACTCAGGCACAGCAACAGAACCAGCGCCTGTACTTTATGATCCCATTGGAGGAATTAAATGTTGTGACGGGCGTGGAATCCAGATCGGCGTCATCCTCAATACCGCAGCGCGTCGAGATCTTCCGGTGGGCCAGGACAAGCGGTGTCTCTAAACGACTATTACTCGAGCCACCTAGATTGTTGAGATTGAGGAGGGACTCCTGGCCTAAGTTGAGACGATTGGAAAGAGACCGCCTAGGTTTCCTGTGTCTGCGCGGCTCCATTTCCTGCGGAATACCTAGCGTTTGACGCTCACCCTTCCGTACGCGTACATATTCACTTGACATCTGGCTTCATGTACTCCGCTTCCTTTCTTTCTGAATTGTTTATTTCTTTGGTTCGATAAGCCTAGTTACATGACTGCTGGACGCCCTTTGCCCTAAGCAAGAGGGACGCACCGGCGTAAAATAACACACACACACACCCACACTGTGTACTTAACTGGTTCTATCGGAGACGATAATGACGACGACGACGATAGAAACGATGACGACGAAAGAAACGATAACGACGAAAGAAACGATAACGACGAAAGAAACGATAACGACGAAAGAAACGATAACGACGAAAGAAACGATAACGACGAAAGAAACGATAACGACGAAAGAAACGATAACGACGATAACAATAGAGGAGACAATAATAGAAGTGACGATAGTAAGGTAGGGTATAGCTACAGGAAATGCGGTCGGTATAGCACAGGAGAAATAGGCGGTCTCATTCAAAACACATAAAGCTGAGCACGGTCACTAGAAGCGTGAATCGTGTACTGCATCAATGAAGTAAGTGTGGCCTACACTTGTACCGAACGTACGGATTCCGGAATTTTGCATCGATGCTGACTCCGACAACTTCTGTGATTCTGAACAAATTATGGTAATATCCGACTGTCGCAATTCGTCGGCTGATGGACATGCGCCAAGGCGAGCTGCTTCTCTGCAATTAGGCGTGCGAAAGTGTGACCTAAAACATTGAAGACTTCGCCAGCAAAATAGCTTTCGTTCGAGGGCTTTTTCCTTTTAAATCCCAACTGATGCACGGAAGGTGATATTGTAGAGCGGATGGTTATTTGTCGTGCCGATCCTCCTACTGGCCCTCCAGATGGGCTAACTCCGCACCCTCGTTTCGAGGGAAAACTGAATCCAAGCCGCGACATTTGTCGTCCAGGGTATGCAGCTAGGTATTCCAGCTATCATTTTAGCAGAACCGATCTTGATTTCATCCTTGCCCATTTCAGTGATTTCACTAGCCATGGCGGTGATTACCTTTGGCCCTAGGTATGTTCAAGTCGCAGGCCGACTGTCGCACGCCCTCGACGTGCTCACGGTTCGCAAGTCGCCCAGTGTCAGACTCTTTCTTAAGATCACTTTCTCACGTTGCGATGCATAAGGACAACGGAGGGTTTGGTCTGTCAGATCATTTGTGGAAATTGATATAAGACGACCAGAGGCATGCTCTTGAGCCTTCGGATCAAAGAACTCATCAGATAACTTGTGATATTTTCGACTACTGTCTCCATCATGGTACGAAGACCAGCAATTTTGAAGAAGCTCAATTCCAAAACCCCTATCCAGAACGCTTTTCCACATGAGCGCAGGAGTCATCCAGCTTAGACTCAACATCGCCATCCGCAGCCGCACGTACAGCACCCGCCACTCTGTGTTCCTCCTTGAGTTCCTTGAATTTCTTCTCCGCATCCCAAGTCCAAGGTGTATCCGCTGCAAATAGGAAGTCCATCTCTTCGAGGGTTCGTTGATTTGACTCAGGGTACAGGGCCCAGACTGCGGTGAACTTTAGCACAAATTCAGAGGCATGAGCCACGGGAAGGGTTCTCACCGATCGGAATGCTGATCACATTGACAGCCGCAAAGATGTACATGGCGTTTTCGTTGATAGCGCCGACGATGTACGGAAGGACTAGCGTGAGGGTTCTGGAGAACATCATCAGCAGAAGTCAAAGACAAAGTAGTAGGAGAGCGCACCCATTTCCGATGCTCCAACCAACGACACCCCAGGCATTGCCCTTGGCGCGAACCTGCAACGGGAAGATCTCACTGGGGTACAGCCAGGGCACCGTCAGCCATGTCGCTCCGAAGATACTTGTGTAGAGGAAGACCATTGAAGCCGCTGCTGCTCCCCAGCTGCTCGCAGCATCCAAGTTCCCGCTGGCTCTGGCATTGAGGCCCCCGCGAGAAAGACCACCCACGAGGAACATGGATAGTGCCTGCGCAGTCGAGCCCCAGTATAGTGTCCAACGGCGACCGATGTTGTCGATGGTGAAGACACAGATGAGCGTGGCGAACATGTAGAAGATGTTGTTCAGGCCTGAAACCCAGAGAGCCTTTTGCGGACCGAAACCGGCGATGTGGAAGATGGCTGTTGGTCAAGAACGTCAGTAACATAGTCAATGCAGAAGGTTGCATTGGGGACGGGGGAAATGCATACTCGGGCCGTACATGGTGATTCCTGCAATACCAGTCCAGCACTGGATGATTTGAAGCCAAATGACCAGCTGCACCCTTCGGCCGGTGTGGAGCTTGCCTGACTTGAGACCGAAAAGCATGTGGTGGTATCCCGTTCCTTCGGATGAATATTCAAGCCGAAGGACGTCTTGGATGTCAGACAACTCGGCTTCGGCGATGCCATTACCAGTCCCTCGCAGTCTTTGCAAGATGTACAACGCCTCATCGTGTCTGTCGACCTTGCAGAGCCAACGAGGAGATTCCGGGAAGAGGAAGCATCCAAAAAGTAGAAACAGCAATGGGATGATCTGGAATGCGATAGGGAACCGCCATCGAAAGGCAGACTCTCCATTGTCGATGAAGCTGACACCATATCCCAGCCAGTACGCAACCACCACGCCAAAGATGTTCAGAGTAAACTCCATAGCGATGAAGGAACCTCTGGATGTGTAGTCCGCCAGCTCGGAAGCCCAAACCGGCACAATGCCGTTCAGAATACCAGTGCCGATTCCATTGACGAGCCGGGAGCCGATCATCCAATTCGAGTTCATGGATGAGCACTGGAGGGAGGCGCCAAAGATGCCCCACAGCGCACCGATGGCGATGGTCTTGATTCTTCCGAAGCGGTCGCCGATGGAGCCTCCTACCGTACAGCCAACAAGGGTGCCGAGATAGAAGACTGACATGATGCCGCCTTGGAGAAGAGTATCGGTGACTACGGGAACACCGTCATCGTCGACGTAGCCGAATCGCATGAGGTCGATGTAGTGCTTTGCGTTGTTAACGCCGCCCATCATTCCTTGGTCATAACCTGTGCAGCCGCATGTCAGTCCTTGGCCACTGAGGTATTCTCGTGGTGCTGTAAGTTAGATGAATTACGTACCGAAGAAGAAGATTGACATTCCCGCAAGACAGTTGACTGCGATGAGAAGGGCGCGCTGCTCGAATCTCGCGGTGACCATCCATTTGTGTCGTTGATCCATCTTTGCGCCGTCCGAGATTCAGGTGTGAAATAAGGTTGAAGGCAGTCGATGAACACACTAGGAAAATGTTAATCTGTGCACAGCTGAACAAGAAGGTTTAGTTGAGATCAGACATTATATACGTGGTTCGAAATGCCGGCATCCCACCTCGCTTCCTCGCCTTGATGTTGAACAAACTGCACTGCCAGACACAGATGTGTTGACTACGTCACCTATGGATCGAATACTTGACCGTTCTTACGAATTATCTCGACGCGGGGAAACCCCACGGGGTATGAAAGTGGCTTCATTCTGGGGCTAGGAACATGCCATCGTCAATTACTTCGATGATGCCTGCCAATCCTCTTCTGTCTTCTGAGTGATGCCTGGTAAAGGCTCATCCTCATGGTGCTCGCTCTGTCAGGGGAAACACATGGATTCGAAACAATCCGACCAATGCAAATCGTGGGGGATGTGGGGACACGCAACCGATGTTACCATTGAAAGCATAGCGTTCGTCTAAGCAAGTCATGTGTGTCTGTCCCTCGAGACGAGCACTTCGGCTCTCACATCACAGCCCGCATGGATGAAGAGTGTCCCTGCTGAAGATTGCTCGATACGCACAAAGGCTGCACAATCAAACCGTATGAAACTGCCATATACCTGCGTTTGGAATTGGACTTTCACTTGACTGACGTCTTCGAAAGCGGACGATCTCGCACCTAGAAGCCACCACACTACTCCCCTAGGAAGGGGTCGGAAGATGAGGATTCTACTACGTGATGCGGTTATCCTCATTAGCGGCATTCAAACTCAATTCGTAGTAACTGACGAGGACATTTATGAGAGTTTGCTGAGTGTGAGCCCCTTTTTCGACAGCAGCATCGTGGGGATTCCTGAGACTAGGTTCCAGAAGGCGGCGGTGCTCACCCTTGTCCCCAAAGTAGCGGGGCGTGAGACAGCATAAGATTGACTGATG